ATATGCAGAACTAGCAGCAGCTCCAGGCAGCACAATAGAAATAAATAAAACCTTGTCTTAGAAGTGTGGGGGATACTTCTTTGCACACTAAATCTTTATAGTGAGGCAAAATTTAATTAGTGTTCTTTTTGAGTTACACTGAGGTATTTCCATCCTTCTGTTTAAAAAGTGCTATCAGTGCAGGTACCTGTGAATTGGATTGATCTCCGCTCCTAATTTGCAGTATACAACTATATTCAGAAAAAAAACGTTAATTAAAAATGTCCTGTGTTTAAATCTGAACTTGCTGCCTGGCCATCAAGCTTGGAAAGGCCCTCGAAGATTATTTTATCCTGCTGTGCCTAAGTAACCAGCAGAAAATGCCTCCTGCCTCATTACTGTGATTTACCTTGAATAACCTTTGCATGTCGTGAGTTGATGATTGTCAGTCAGCATATACATTTCTGGTCAGTATAGTCTCCAGTGCGTTACACTCAAAGCCGCCTCCGCCCCCGCTGTAGAGAAAACATGGCCATGAGCAGAGCGTGCTGGACTCAGCTTTCCTCCCTCGTTGTTAGTTTGGGACTGACGGAGATGAGAAGCTTCTGGGATCAGAGTGTCCCCAGGCTGCTTTTTTTTTTCTTCTTCTTTTAAATGCCGCTGGGCTTAGGAGTCTCCCGCTGCTCACGTTGGCTCCCTGTTCAACTGGGTTGCTGCATCAGAAAAGGAAGAAAAACTTTGATCTTGACATGCCCTTCTTCTCTGTCCCCTGTTACAACTTCTGCTGAAAAAAACCCATGATCAAGTGCATCTGTGGTGGTGTCAGTCCTTTCAGGGAAGAACGGATGCTTTTATCAAATGTCTTTCCGAAACCTTTAATGCGCAGCTGAAGTCCAAGTTGAACTGTCAGAAGAGAGACCCGAGCACTGGCTTTATCACCATCCCCACACTGCCCTCAGGGTAACCTGCACACATGCTTAAAAGTGCCCTCTCCCAAAGTGGGGTGGATTTAGGCCATTACTTAGTGTGGCTTCTGGAACTGTGGGATCAGCGGGGACCTCTGGTAATGACCATGGCTGCAGCCACGCTCCAACAGCTCCACTGTAGCCACATCTCCAGCGGCTTTTGGGGAAGACAGTCCATGGCCCTAATTGTTTGACTTGCCCTTCGCCATCCATGGATGTAAAGATACCTGTCCCTTGGGTCTTACGTCGCTGGCAGCTTGAATCTGTAGGGTGTATTTTCCTCGTTAGTTGTGAGCACATTTCCAGTGGTCGAGTGGACCTCAAGTTTCAATAAATGTAGTTTCAGTTTCGTGTAATCTTACTCTGTTCCCAGCTCCCCTCACCAGCTTCAGGAGTGAAATTATGATATTGCTTAAAGCCTTGCCTGTAACATAACACAAGGAGAAACCATAACTCAGTGTTCATATATAATTCCAAAATATCAAATTGAGAAATGCTGTTATGATTACTTCGCATGGTGCTGTAGGCGCTGGCGACCATGGAGCATGTCCTCTGGGGTTTGCAGCTTGCAAGGAAGAGTTTGGTGGCTCTGCAGGAGATCTGCTAAAGGCTCCCCAGTGTCTTACCTGACTTTTCACTGGTGCAGTGGGCGTGTGGCTTTCATGTCGCCCACTCCTCCAGCAAGAGGGCTGTTTCCATTACACCTCAAGGAGAGCTAGAAGGACGTCTTGCTTCTCTGGGGGAAGCAGGCAGGTCAGCTCTTCCGGGGTGTACTGGGTGCATTAGTCAGCTGCAGAAGAAAATGGGGTTTGGTACAGCTGGCATTGTTCTAGGACCGTCACTAAATTGGCCTTTTGTTTTTTCAATAAGCTGAAGTCAATAAGAAAAAAAATAAAGTAGAGCTTGCCAAATTATATTTCGTACCTGGTCCTTCGTCCATCAACCATACCAAATGGTACTGTAATTTATGAAGAACACTGCAATACCCCTTGAGTGTTTCATTGATATTTAATACGTGTTCCGTGAGCTACCGGCCAGGCCAGAGCACGTGAAGAGCTGACCCTGGGGTGCTGGTGTATACTTAGTAAATGTAGCTGACCAAAATTTTATGCCATTTCTTCATATTTCTTCCGTATTAAAAAGAGTTTGAGAGAAGTACCACTTCGGAATACACAAGTATTATCTTTTAGGCGAATTTAATGTGGTACAATCTCATTTGCATTTGCAAATTCTAAGGTTGCATTTTCCCCCTTACTCCAAATGCCTGAAAAAATCTCATTAATGTTAATGTGCGGAGAAGAAGTGCTTAGCCTGTTGATGTAGGAATGAAATCAGGCGCAAAGCACAGCTCTACAAGATTCATCTGCAGATTAGGGTCTGAAGCAACCATGAGATTATCAAATCTCACCTTCTGTCTAACACAGGCCATAGAATCTCATCCACTTACTTCTGTATTTATCCCAAGAACAGCACCAGAAAAGCAAATACTGTGCATGAACAAATTGTAATGCAGTGGTATATTCAGGCGTTTCTTATTTTTCACACTAAAACCAGGAACAAACAGCAGCACTGTGCTATACGATATTGATGAAAATCTGCAGGAGGAGAGAGATTTCTGCATTTTATCTCTCTGGAGAGGAGAATTTGTGTGTCTGTGTGTCTGCATATGGTTTGGTTTGGTTCTTTGAACATTATTCACTGGTAACTCTAACCAGTATAGAGCTGACCATTCTGTTTCTCTCTGGGGATGGCATAAATTGAAATACAGATTTTCTTTTTTAACAGAAAAAAAGTAATTTTCTTCAAAAAAATTGTGTGGTCCTTGACAACTGCTTTCTAACATCTTATTCTGGAATCTTCCTGCCAGTCAGTTTCCCTAGGAAACATGGAGCACACTTCACATCTGGCTTCTCGTCTCTTGGACTGTAACACAAAAGTGCCCTTGAAAGGCACCTGGGAGGTATTCCGGGGGATGCCACCCATGCACAAAAGGCGAGCCAAGCCGTCTAAAGGAGCTGCACTGGGCTATTGCATGTTTTAACCATTAGCCAATGGTTTGCTGAACAAAGTGGGTAAAGAGAGGAGATGAGGAAAGTATCAAGGAATTCAGAGGAGAAGTGGTGGGTGGCACTGTATGAAATACAGAGCTCCCAAGGTTGGCACATGAATGCTGTCCTGAAGAAAAAATCCTCCTACCCAAGTCTGAGGTGCAGCAGCCCCTTGGTGTTGCCCATCCCACAAGAACATTCCTCTGCAACCCACCACAGCTCAGAGGGAGGGAGAGTCTGCTGCTCGCATGTTGCAAAAGCCTGTGCTGCCCCTTGGGTGGGTGAAACCTGGGTTCTTAGGGTTTGTTCAGTTTCCATCTCCTTTCATAGAATCATAGGATCATAGAATCATTAAGGTTGGAAAAGATCTCTAAGACCATCAAGTCCAACCGTCAACCCATCAGCACCATGCCTACTAAACCATGTCCAGAAGTGCCATGTTTCCTTCTAAAGCTCAGAAGTCCTACAATTGGCTTGGTTCCGTCTTGTTTGGTTTGGGTTTTGCCTATAAAGTGCATTCAGATCCTGTTCCTTGAGGGGTTTTTAATACAAATCAGGGCTAACTACTACTGTTGAAAGCAGAGATTTGACCCCTGACTGCAGGAACCACCAAGCTGGTGCCAAACCATTTGCTGAGGGTATTGTACTGGCGAGAGGGAAGAGCCCTATACCCAAAGGCACCCCGCAGCAGATGTATGCAGTCTGCAGTGCCTCAGCTGCTTCATTGCAGTGTCCTGTGGTTCATGTTAACCTAACTAGAAGGTACCAGATAAACACTTCTGAAAGACTCAGTGTTCAAGAAAGAATCTCAGACCTCCTTCCCTGTCCAATAGGAAGGTCAACACTTGCCTTAATACCTGGCTTTGAGGCTGAACTAATTCTTGAGCGTAAGGCTCTTTGAAATCCATGGATAAATGGAGTTAAGTAAATGTTAATAACATTACCAAAACCTTCCCCCTGTTGCTTTGATGCAATTTATTCAGAACGTGCAGAAAGGCATTTGTAGCAGTGAGGGTAGGGCTGCGCAGCAAAACACCATGCCTTGCAGAGACACCTCAGATGGCTCTGAGTGACCAGACACAGGAGCCCTGCGTCGGCATGGTCCTTTGCGGGGGCGAATACTCCCTGTTTCCCAGCGGAGCTCATTGCCTGCATGCGCAGAAGCTCTCGCTCTTGTTGCTGGACACAATCTGGGCAAGAGGTGGCTGGTGGTGAGACTCTGGCCATCTCTGTGCAGCTGCCCTGTGGGCCTCCCCAAGACAGATGTCGGCCTCTCCAAAGCATCTAGTAGCAGTAATAGTAGAAAGTTAGGGTCCTGTTAACAAAATAATAAAGGGTGATGGGTGAATACAATCTGTCAATATGGTTTTAGCAGAGAGGCAGATTTATAGCTAATATTCTCCCTGCTCCTCAAGAAATCACATCTGAGTGAATGTTCAGCTTGGGGAGTAGCAGGAATCTCCGTGGCCTTCATTTCTTCTGCCAAGGTCATTGGCAAGAAAGAAGCCACGATTATTAATTCTCTAGCATAAAAGACATCACAATAAGAGCACATACTGTTTTCATTTCGACAAATTTTCCAGCTCTGGTGTCTTCCCACCCCATCTCAGCAGGAGGAGGTCAGGCAGGGTCCAGCACTGCCATAGCCGTGGGATGGAGCGCAGAGTGGAGGGGAGAGCTGTTTTCCAGGACTGAGAAAGGCTGTGACAGCATCTCAGGATGAGGGTGCTGCCAACACGCTTGCCACCAGGCTGCGTGAGCACTTGTGCTCCTTTGTGTTGGCTTCACAGCAAAGCGCTGGACACTTTGTAAACAGCATTTAAGCATCAAGTATCAAGAAGTTTGGAGACACAAAGGTTTATCTTCTAGCATAGGAACAACTTAGCCACATAACGAACGGTTCTTTGCAGGCGGGAGTCTCCTTTTCCATGAATTTGTATGACAAGCAAAAAGGCGGTTAAGCGTTTCCCAGCCGCTCGACTGACTGGTGCCTGTGCTTTCTTTGCAGTTGTCCAACACAGCAATTCTTCATCAGATTAGACGAGACCAAGTGACAGACACGTGCCGAGCAAACAGTGTATCCAGCAGGAAGCGCCGTGTGCTGACACCCAACGATCTCAAACACCTGGTCGTGGACGAAGACCATGAAATGATCTATTGCTATGTTCCCAAAGTTGCCTGCACAAACTGGAAGAGAGTCATGATGGTTTTGACGGGAAGAGGCAAGTACAGCGATCCGATGGAAATCCCAGCCAACGAAGCCCATGTGTCTTCGAACCTGAAGACCCTCAACCAGTACAGCATCCCAGAGATCAACCACCGCTTGAAAAACTACATGAAGTTCCTCTTTGTTCGCGAGCCTTTCGAGAGACTGGTGTCGGCGTACAGGAACAAGTTCACCCAGAAGTACAACACCTCCTTCCACAAGCGATACGGCACCAAAATCGTGAGGCGCCAGAGGAAAAACGCGACCCAGGAAGCTCTGCGTAAAGGTGATGACGTGAAATTTGAAGAGTTCGTGGCGTATCTCATCGACCCGCACACCCAAAGAGAAGAGCCCTTCAACGAGCACTGGCAGACTGTGTACTCCCTCTGCCACCCTTGCCACATCCACTACGACCTCATAGGAAAATACGAAACGCTCGAAGAGGATTCAAATTACATTCTCCAGCTGGCGGGAGTAGGCAACTACCTGAAGTTCCCCACCTATGCAAAGTCTACGAGAACTACTGACGAAATGACCACAGAGTTCTTCCAGAACATCAGCTCCGAGCACCAAACGCAGCTGTACGAAGTCTACAAACTTGATTTTTTAATGTTCAATTACTCAGTGCCAAGCTACCTGAAATTGGAATGAGGGATGGGTCGGGGGGAGAGAGGGGAGAGAAAGCCTGTTTTATTTAAGATTTTTATTTGTCATAATAAATATGGAGAATGGGTTATTTTGTAAATTAATATTTTCTTTTTTTGAATGATGCTGCGAGCAGCACAGTCAAAAGTATTTAAATCAACTGTAAGAAAGGACAGCTCTCTTTGCAGGGTAACAGGATTGTGACGATCTAGCTGTAGAAATGAATAATACTGCTACACTGTTTAAAAAAATGTTAATAGTGTTCTGGTGATTTTCATTGATCTTGCATTCCTCCAATTCTAATTAATGTTATTTATACTTATTTAAAGCGTGGTCTCTTGGTAGGTGTCACTTCAGCAGCAGAGATAAGGTAGCATTTGGACAAAAGGAGTCTGGTTTTGTTCTTTCCTCAGTTGAGTTTGTCTCTGGGTAATAATACTCCTCCGTTAGCCGTCGATGCAGGTAAATACGGGAATGGTTCTTGATGTCACACGCTTTGAGAAGAGTGGTGGAAATAATTTCTTCATAAAGTGACATTGTGCTTAAGCATACTAAAAAATTCTATCTAGCCCTGAAAGGGAAAAGTAAAACAGGTTTTGATAAATTCATGATATCTAAAACTGATGACTGAAAGAAATGTGAATGTATTCCTTGGGGAGAGAAACCATAAACTTTTTATACATCTGGTCTTAACGATTTTATCAAGAATACGACCAGTCCCATTGTCTCTTAATTTGAAGCCTGCCAGCCCAAAGGAGTGCAGATTTGTGGGAGGAAAAAAATCAGCATTTTGAAAGCGACTGTAGAGATTTCTGAATGCCCAGAGCAATTGGCATTGACTCTAGTTTGTATCCAGGATGGGGGTGGGAGGAGCTCCATCTTCTGCAAGTCTTCCCTCACTAACTGATCTTAAGATGGGCAACCAGAACTGGCTCAAAAATCACTGGTCACAATACGTTGCTATAAAGGATGTGGGCACGTCATCACTTGAAAAGTCAGAACGTCATCTTCGTGTTGATCTCTGAGCGTGCAAGGCAATGAAAAAGGTCTCTGATTCCTGCGTGCTGGTTTCATGGCTTTTTCCCAGGGGGAACGGGGGGTCCTTTCTTGGTTGATGGCTAAATACCATTGAGAGGGATGTTTCTGATTTCCAGTGGGTCAGTATTTCATACAAGTTGACTCTAGTGTGAGACCACGGCCTTTTTGGTGAAGTGGGATGTCTCAGTAATGGCTGCTTTGTGTATAGCAGCGTGTTGGGATGGCAGACAGCACCAGGCCCAGCACACCGAGAGGCTGCTTTGGGCAAGCAAGTAGTGATCGATGCACAGCAAATAACTAATGAGAAACGAGGTTTCAGTGTGGCTCTGTCAGCAAGCTAGTGAGCAGAAACTCAGGCTTCTCCGGGTGCTGGCTTTATTCCAGTACAGGTGAGGCATGAGGCCAGGCGGGCGCCTGCCGGGGAGCGGTCCGCAGCCGCCCCGAGCTGATGGGCGGAAGGGGGCAGAGGCTTCAGTCGAGGCACTTGTCGGAACCTGAAGTCTGTTTTAAAGTTGAATGATGGTTAAAGTGGGGTTTTGACTTGCCTGCATGTCAGTCGTATGACCAGAGCCAGCACTTCCAAAAATTAGTGAGGATTTAAATAAACTCAGCTGAAGGCAGAGCTGTTTTAACAGTATCAGAGCCAGATCCCAAAAAATGTCGTATTGTACAGTGGCTGATTTACAGTCACTGAATTACATTAGTCTCCAGGACACATGTGTAGTCAAAGAACAAAAATAAATTCTGTCTTATTTTATAAAAATAAGCCGCTGAATAAATCTCAGCAAAGAATGAAATTAGCATAACAAACAGCAGCTGAAGTCTTTTCACAAGTGGATTCGGTCTTAGCCAGGATTCGGGTCACTATTTTTTGATCATTCCCCACAAATAAATCTCTCACCCATTCTGTGAACGCGGTTTGGGCGCGTGTAGAGCGTGCGGAGCTGTTGCAAGTGCCTATCACAGTGTGCCCATCACAGTGTGCCCTGGCTTCCTTTTGTTCGCAGTTCGATGGTTATCTGTTTGTTAAAAAAGGAAACCTGTCTGAGGGTAGGTTTCCCCTCGCTCCCTCCAGTATTTCCCACAAGCTGTTTGTGCGCTTGTTTGGTCTCGTGTCCGACAGTGCTCGTATTTTGGTCCAGGTTTCAGTTAGCTGTTAATCCGCTCCAACAGAATGTGGTGTGAATTTTTTTCATTTAAGAAAAAAGTTGGTTTGGAAAGCAAGTATTTTTAAAATGGGGTGTGCTTCCACCCTTTCATTTTGTATTTCTCCCTGTCATCACCACGTTTTCATCCGTTCTGAAGTATTTTCTTTAGTTTCACTGCTTTGGAGACACAAAAGCCCCATCTGAAAGCTGTGATAGAACAGCGTGAGATGAAGAACATGTTCAGGAGATCTGAGAGGGTGAGCGCTGCTCAAGCCGGGATTCTTAGCAGCAGCTTTGGGTTTGATTACCCGAATTCTGCTCCCCTACGGGCAGGTGCTTGGCACTGAGATGCCTTTCGTGTGGTCTCAAGCAGGTACTTAAAAGTCTCTTGTTTTTAAAAAAACCTTGATCCCAAAGTGCTACAAACTGTCCGTTTAGTACCTTGTGTCTGTTTTGGGGTGCTGTGAAGGGGCTGTAGGTCCGTGTTTGAACTGAACAGCTGACACGCTGGGTGCAATCGTGCCCTGCGCAGTGAGCACGAAGCCCTCACCAGCTCAGGGGAGGACCACAGATGTTAACCAACAGCCTGATTTGGTTTTTTTGGGTCTGCTGGCTGTGTTGTTCTGACTGAGCCAAACCCCATCCCCTTCCAGTGCCCCAGCACGGAGGGTGCTCGGGGTTGTTCCTCTCCCGGGGAGCTGCTGGTCTAGAGGGGTTTGCATTGGTTATGGTCGAGCAGTGGTGGGCGCAGAGGGGACCCAGCAGGGAAGGTCCCACTGCCCACCTCTGCCCCCAGCCCCCTCAAAGCCACTGGCCTCGAGGAGCGGTGATCCCCATCTCTGGGTGGTTGGAGCCTTCCCGGCGTTTGGCAGGGCCAGCGCTGAGCCCAGCAGCGCCTGTGGCTCCTGACCCAGTGCGATCCCCACGGCCCCGACCACCTTCACCTGGAGCCGGGGCTGGGTTTGGCCCATCTGAAGGTGGTGGTGACTCCTGGGCGGTGGAAGGCCCCCCCCACCCCCAGACCTGACCTGGTCCATGCTTCAGCCTCTCCGTAAACCATGTCCATTACCGCAGAAACGTGCAGACTGCCTGCACCGTGCGCTGCGTGAGACAAGTGGAGCAAATAATCCACAAACAGAAGTGCTTTTAGAAGCTGACCCCAGATGTTTTAGGGTTTCTCTGTAGTCTGCTGCACTTTTCAGGTACAAAAAGGGACTGTCCTTACTATTACTCTTGTTACAGAGAGTGTTATTTTCTTACATGCATGCACAATACAATGTGTACGAATAATTTAACATCGATGTGGGGTTGGATTTTTTTTTTTAACCTATTTGTATGCAGTAGAAGGCTTGTTGTAGAAAAGTATCTCCTCATACCTAAACCTACTGTTAATAAAGAAAAAAGCTAAATTATACATTGCCAACACAAGTGTGAACTGCTCATGAATCTTTCCTTGAAAAAAGCCATTCAAGCCTGATTATTTTTCTAAGTAAATTCAATTAAATTGAAGAAAGAACGTTCCTCTCTGTGTGCTTTATTTCTGGCTCGTGCTTTCAGCGGTGACGGTGGGATTTTTGTCTGCGTAGCTTTGCTTTCTCACAAGGGTTATTGTGGCAGGGGGGAAAAAAGACTCAAAATTATCTACTGCTATGGATCAGGACAGCTGAAGTCACCTGACGACATCCCTCTTGCCCCCTTCCTTCCCAAGTTCCCAGCCAGCAAGGGTGAGGGTGGTCAATTTAAGACCTGTCGCATGCCAGAAACGTCATCGCACCTCAAGCAAAGGCGTTAGAGTCAGTCAGATGACACAAACTGCAGCTGTCTGATGCGCTTTAGGCAATGTGCTTGCCCACCTTCATGTGAATTCACTGACAATGGCTTTGAACTGAACATTTCCAGTGGTCCCCAAACCTGCGTGGGCTCATCTGTGGTTTTCACTGAGGCCAGAAAGCTGGGCCTTGATGACAAACTTGGGTGAGGAAATCGGGAAAAACATACATTTAGAAAAACCTGCTCACCATCATGCCCATCTTGTTGGAAGGGAGCTTGGAGGTCAGCTGGGCCACCTTACTGCTGAAGGTCACCAAGACTATGCTGGCTGTGGTATTGACCAGCCAAGGCTTCAATACCTCTGGGGGTGGAGGGCTCGGAGCCTCTCTGGGCAACCTGTTCCCGTGCCACCCTGCTCTCCCAGCAGAGATTTTTTTTTTTTTTTTTTTTTTTAAAATTTTTTTTTTTTTTGTTTTTTTTTTTTTCCTAGTGGCCACTTCAAGACTCTCAGCCTTTAACTTGTGTCCAGCACCTGTCACTGCTGGAAGAAGAGCTTGGCTTCACTTTGTAAGTCCCCTTTGAGCAGTTGTAGACTGATATGATTCCTAGGTAGCCACGCTATCACCAGACTAAATAAGGCCAGATACCTCGGCATCTCCTCGTAGGTGATAAGCTTTAGGTCACCGAACATCTTGGCATCCCATCACTGTAACCTCTCCAGCATCTTGACATCCTTCTTCAGTTGGGGAGGGCCCCAAAACTGGATGCCATATTCTGGCTGCAGCACTGCCAGCAGCAAACAGACCATGTCATCTGCCAGCCCCACTCTTCCCAAGGCAAACGTTATTCACAGGGAGGGCAGAGACAAACGGAATGTAGGAAATCTGCTGAGCAGGTGTCACAGCACGTGGTTGGGCACTGGCTGTCCTTAGAGCCCAAGCCTGTTCCCACCTCAAATGCCCCCCCAGCCTGCGCTCCCCAATTAACAGGCAGAGGCGCAGCACAGCTGGCTGAAATCACAGCCTGGCTGCGCATCGCTGAGACAACAACCTTCACATGCCAAAACGGCCATGATTTGTTTCCTCTACAGTCGCAGTCAGAGAGGGAGACAATTAAGAAGGTTGCGAGGAGGACTCGATCTGAGCGAGTGATTAGCCTGGCTCCAGCCTGCGCTGATTGCTCTGCCTCCCTCGGCAGCATGGCAGGGCCAGGGTCACAGATGCTTCGAAGCAACGCAGTCCTGTTCTGGCAGTACGTGGGTCTGAGGAAGCCACTACACCCTGAGGAAGTCCATCAGCTTCAAGAATATCTGCGTTCATGGAGATGAAGTGTGGCATCACACAGAAATGAGGGTCAGGAGGAATCCTCTGGCTGTGGGGTAGGTGGGGCAGGGGATGCTGGGGACCGAGCCCAGGCAAGCGGGGACCAGCAGCTGCAGAGCTCAGCCACAGGCGGGGGGAGTTGGTACCACATACACACAAAAATGGAAAGTTCCATTTTTGGGGTGGTGGGCTAAGAAATGGCCTCTCTGCACAGCTCTTGGGTGAGCTCCTTCGTTGCTCGTAAGCTAGCGGAGGAGCGACCGCTCCCTGACGCTGCCACAGGGACTGACCAAACTGGATTTGCTCCAGTGGAAGGAAGC